CAATGGACCTTCAACAGGATGACCTTGGACACTGCGCTTTTGCTTGATTACCAGAAACAACAAGAATCCCAATGTTGTGTTATTAGTCTCTACATCCATTAATGCCAGACTATGTTTTAACATTGAAATATATGATTGATCAATTGTACTTTTCAGATGTGTAGTTTTTACAGACATATAACATACCACATACCACATAGTGTTTGAGTTAAAGACTTTTTGCTTCTGTCTTTGTTGTCGTTACCTAACACTGTATGTACTATACTAACAAATCCAATAAAACAGACCAGTTTTGCTGTTGTTCTCAGATGTCAAATTCCTTTTGCAGTATTGCAGTATGTCACAGTCCATAGAGGGACTATGAGTATATTTTAAAATTCAATATGTAACTGTTTTTGTTGTGGCATGCCTTTGTTTTTATGCAAATTTGGGCATATTAATCACTGCTATATACTACATAGCAAACAAGATGGCAGGGATTGCCAAAGTTTGAATGGATTTTGTATTTACTTTATTCTGAGTCATTGCTGTATAGTTTTAGATTAACATTGTATGTTATCTTTGTAATATCAAAAGTGAGTTATGCCAACAATAAATCTTCATTTTTCAAAGGTTTCCAATATTTTTATCTATAATCAAAATCTAAGTCTAGATTTCTTGTTATATTTGCATGTAATAATGCTGAACTATTTTAATTAGTTAATACCCTCCCATTTGAATCCATTAGGACCAGAGATGTTAAGTATCTACAATATTTTGTCAATTTTGGAGTCTCATCGATCATCTAGAAATTGCTTAAGGAATAAATAAGACAAGAATATAGTGTTTTGAATATTAATTTATGTAGTTTTAATAGCATCACAAAGTGTATTATGATGTAATAGTGTGCAATGTCTTACCAAATGGTTTTTTGTACAGTTGCCATTTTTTTTATTGTTGGGTTCAAATAAGGTAAAAGACTGAATATTGAGAACTCTGCTCATCAATAAATACTACAATCTCAATAGAACATTTTCCATACTTCTTGAGATACTTTGTTTACATTGTGTGAAATCAAATGTAAAAACAGGACAAACCAAACTAGTTGCTTCATAGTGGGGTCAAAACATCGCCGACATTTCGGGGGTATTTTCACGTTCAGTATTGTACTCTTCACAGTTGATGATAAATTTTGAAGAAAGTGTCTTAATGCCACTTTTCTTTCTGAAAGATTTGTTGTGACATTGAACTATAAAAAAAGAAAGCTCAAAATCAGATTCATTCAATTTTTGTGGCACACGTTTGATTCGCAATATCTTGTAGAAAAACTGAAAATGGTATATTCTATTGTGATAATGTCAACCAGGCTAGCTAGTCTAAGTATGCATCTTGTCACTATCAGAAATTATAAACTGACTTGCTAACTCTATTTGTAGAATTTGTGAATACTGCAGCAATAAATCATTGATGGCAGATATCTTGTGAATGCTGCCATGCTTTAAGTAGTCAAGGGATAGAAGATGCTTCTCAGAATGCAACTTTGAAATTTTACATGTCTTAGAAAAGTGCATCATTTATATCCTACATTCATGTTTTTGCTCTCTGTAGGCACCAACTTTGCATTCATTATTTCATTTCAATTGTATTATACCGGTAGTTACAATATGCCACTACTGGTGGATGTTACTGCAGGAATTAGGCATCTTTTGAGTACCTGAATTAGTAAATGTACTTTGCACATTATTTCTCAATTACTGTAAAATACTTTATTTTAGCTGGACATAATTTTCACTGAAAAGATTTTTTTTGGATGTTTTGTGAAAAAGATGTTGAATGAAAAATATAGGGAAAATGGTATATTCGCTGGATTTTATTTTCACTGAATCATCCCCTCAGCAAAAATAAATTCCAAATGGAAATAAAATATTTTACAGTAGTGCATCTGATTTCTAATAACTTTTGTGTCATATTTAAATTCAGCAATTCTCTCACTTTTTAACTTATATAAACTTATACTATTTTTAACTTCAATAAGCAGGGTTCAATAAGCTTGTGTTCTTATTTTTGTGGTTTATACCAGTTGTGTTTATGTGTCTGCTTTGATGAGAAATGTATAAAATGTGTTTCTACATTAACCATTGTAAATAGCCTTCCTAGATTCAAAATGGGTTTCTTGACAAACACGAAGGGTATCACACTTACAGCAAGTCTCAGAAGTATTGGGGCAGCGAATTAGCTAATCGCTTGGTTTTGACTAAACAGATGGCTTTCAAACCTCGCTGAGCCGACTCGTCGCGTCCACTCTGGGCGAGTCTATTTTGCATTAGGGAACATAAAATGCTTTTACGTAGCCTGGTACATGTCTAGATTCCCCTGAATGATTTGTTGCGAGGCGTGATAATGTGAAAATAGTTTCCCTGATCAGCCTGAGAATGGCCACAGTCAGCTTGCGTACAAGTGATATGATAAATGCGATTAATCCACCGATATTTACTATATGAACACTGATTGAAACTAAATAAAGAGACAAGTTGAGAAACAGTTTCCTACAAATCAGGGAGAAAATAAATTTTAACATCCAAACAATTCGTTGGGTAACAGTAAAACAACTGTTAATAAAATTTGACTTCATTCATCG